AATAATAATAATATTATACTATTAACTAGCCAAATATTAACATTGATTTATACGGAAGAGCATTGCTTTACCTCTACATCTAACTAAAATCTTAAAGCATGGTTGTCAGCATAAAAGTTGGCCCTTTGAGCCCTAAAGCTGTTGATTGAGTTTTGTGATTTTAAATCTGACATTGTCTTAAGGTGTGGTACAGAATGTGACTAACCTAAAACTGCTCAGAGGATAGCCTAGAGGTGACAGGCTCAGGTTACAGGGAAAACATAAACTGCTTTGGAATTTTAAACATGCAATTCTACTATTTAAAACTATGATTCTAGTGTTGTGGGGAAAAGTCTATGTACAAATAAGTTAATAATAGGGCCTACTCAGAAAACTTTGTGATGAAGTCAGCAGTAAATAAATGAGTGAACTTTATTTCTATTGACATCACAAAATGATAGAGGTTATAGGTCAATTTATGCTTCTGCATTTTTGATGCAATCCTCTTAAGATCAAAGTTTCCTATAAAATAACAGTACCCCTAATCAGAAATGTACATGATGCAAACATAATCCAGCGGTTTTGTATGCATCCTACATTTACTTGACAGTCAAGATTTTTGTCATATTTGTCATGGAATTCACACATTTTTGTGCGTCTTTTTTTTTTTCATCTTTTGGGCAAGATTATTATTATTAGAAGATGTATAAAGATTGCGTCAAAAGAGTTTGCAGTCTCATCGTTTTCCTTTACGGCAGCGTTGACTCCGCCCACCCAGCCGGTCTCCGGAACACGCCGGCCTGCCAATGCAACGAACCCGACTATTGGCTGTCGGTCGGATTGTGAGACACCCAGAGAAATCTCGAGAGTGTATGAAGCTCACTGCTAAGTTCGAGCTCCCCCTCGACGAGTCGGTCTACGTTCGGCAACAATGAGTACATCGGAGACGTTGGATCGAATGGAGCTCTGTGAAAGTCTTCTAACATGGGTAAATAATAAAATGCTGGTGTTTGTTTTCCCTCTCCGGCGCCGGCAGTGCTAGTTAGCACAAGGCTAATGATAGCTCGACAAGCTAACTGTGGTTAGCGTTAGCTGGAAAATGACACACAGGCTCACTTTGGTTACGTATGCAGGCCAGCTGTTTGCTGGGTTAGCTGTTTATAAGCATCTATCCCGACTTGACGTTATTTCATGTTAAATAATTGCGCTTTTCCCTATGATTAGCTCAACTTTTAGCTGCCATGCCTTATGTTAAAACGCAGAGCAGCAACAACAAATGCAATTGTATAGTTTATCGCTTCATAAACGAAGACATTTTTTTCCAGAGCAGTGAGTGTCTGCTTTGGGTTGAATTCCTGTCATTGTTGCCTGATGTCCTTCCTCATTCCTTCTGATCCAGCTGTTAAGCACACGGCAACTTTCTGAGCACTGATTTCTATCTGTACCCACAAATATTTTAAATAAAAGCTTTAAACACTAAGTTAAGTCACCTATTAAAAGAGCTGTCAGACTATTATTGTCAAAAGCAACACCCCAACTATATATGTTCAGACAAAATGTTTAATTTTTAGTGTGGCTGTGTTTTTCCATCAGTATAATGACACTGATGACAACTTAACTGGCAATTTAAGAAAAGGTTATGTTTTCAGTGCAAGACAATTGCAGGAACTCCAGCATTTGTCTTTAAATTTATTTGTACACAAGGAAAATGTACCAGTTTGTAAAAAGGAGAGTAGGTTGCATCATTAAAAACCTGCCTATATTAACTTATAAGTCAGTTGTGTGTAAAACCATTTCTATAGGACTGGTTGCAGGACTTGACATGAGTCAGTACAACTTTCATTACATAAGCTGAAGTTTCAGGTTTGTCTGCTAGAAGAGAGTTAATGCTATTAAAAACAAACTTGATTACAAAAAAATCAAGTCAAATGTGTACCCCAGCCACAGTGATTGAATTTGCTTCCATGTATGCATTGTCACATACATAATCAATTTATTGATAACCTCTAGTGAAGCTGACACGTAGAGCTTTTCATAGAGATAAAGAGCATGGCAGATGTCCCTCACATCTTTGTTAGGTGTTAATTCACYCTAAAGAGCGTAGATGTGATTAGTCAATCACATAATACTGCATTATATTTAGAAGATATGAAATAGTGCAGTTTGTAGTTACTACAAAATAAAAGCTTTGTAACTTTGATTTTAGTACAGTAAAAGGCTCTCAACTGATCTCAACTATTTAATGAAATTACTACACACATCATACTCATTGCATTTTACTTGTAATTAGGCAGTGAGAATACAAAAGATTTAAAGAATATCTGCCTTTATTATGATTTTTCTTCCTGCCACTGTTTACCAGGCATGCTAAAGCATAATTTACAAAACAGGAGGTAAAGAAAAYCAGAAAGTGTTTCCTGAGACAGCATGACCATCTCTTTTTTTTCAGCTATTTCCACAAATAGGTGTGAATTTCCTCTCTGACCTCGGTCAGCTCTTTTGTTTTGATCCTGGCCTTAATCAATTCACTTCATAAAGTATTTTTGAATTTGAATTCAGGATCAGGATGAGGTTTTACAATACAATTTCTTCTTGTACAGTATTAGGTTATTATAGCTTTTTACATGTACAACAGACATGATGTGATGTGGGCTTCTTTTAAGTCTTCCTATCTACTGTGATAGAGGTTTTGTTAACTGAACTTTTAGTAAAGCAGGTTAAGCTCAGTGTTTCTTTGTAACAGTAGTTCAGGATGTTCGATTAAACATTTTAGTTGCCATATTGGGCTGCACTATATTAGAAAATCTTGCCATGCAGATAATATTTGTAAATATTGAGATGTTGATATCAGTTGCCATATGTCATTTTTTTTTCTTATCACTTTTTCTTCTGTACTTCCTACTCWGTGAACTTTAGCATTTTTGGTCATGTCATTTGTGTCTCGTGTGAGCTTTTGCTGCCGTTAGACTCTGTCCAACTGGCTGAATATTCCATTAGCATGAAAAATACAACTTCAAAACTCTTCAAATTCATTAGTCAACAATTATTGCAGTCCAGTCCTTGGCGATATGGACCACGCTGATATTGCTATGACAATATATTTGCGATATATGATGCAGCTTTAATACCATAAATCCATCAGCCCAATAAAAACAGATGTTTCTTCATTTTCCTTTATTATTTAATTTTCTGTGTACCCATGGTTTCACATCTTCTTCTTGCCMTCCATATGTTTAGTGTTTAAAGTGCTTGTTCATCCCATGTTTTTTTTTTTCCTTATCTTTCCTGCAAAGGGAAATGATACAGACCAAATGTTGTGGTTAGGATCCATAAACAGTTTTATCAGTTGTTTTGCTTCTTCTTTTTTCATGCTGATGTTGTTTCAATTCTCTTTTCTTAAATATTGTTTGTTGGGTTTAATATCTTACATTTACTAGTTGTGCTTTTCTCGTAGTGTAGTTGCTGTGTCTTCTTCCATCACCAATATGAATATAAACTAGTCAGCAAATAACTTAACCCTAAACAATATAACGATGCACTGCAGGAAAGGTAATCTTGATCAAACTGTTTGTAATTGAAACAGGAAAACCTCATGCCTTTATGGTTACTGGTATATTACCTGGTAATTAGTTGTTCCTCTGTTTTATAAAAACTAAGTCAGTAGTCAGATTATCGTATTATCAATCAAGTATCCAGACAAGCTTTGTTTTGTTTTGTTTTGTTTTTTTTGTTTGTTTTTTTCTGTGCTCACCTACAATTAAACTCCTTTGGTTATTGAATTTTATAAACCATTTTGAATGCAATCATTTAAACAATTACCCCCTAAAAAAGAAAACAAGCCAAGATTTTACTTTCTACATATAATGGAAGCAATAAACTTGATTTTCTGCTAAAAAATGAAACAAAACAACAACAAGAACAACACAGAAGTGTTCAAGATACGAGATCGTGTCTTGTTCCCATAGTATATAGTGAATACAGTGTGGGTGGGCATTTTCAGTCCTACTATAAAAAAATTGAAAAGGTAAAACTAAGTCAATCTTTGTCTTTGTAAATTAATTTTACTGTAAAAGGAAAAAAAATGTATAGGTCTTCTGGATGGGTTCTCTAATGAAACGTTTCGTCTCTCCTCCAAGAGACTTCTTCAGTCTGAGTTTCAGGCAAAATTCAGGCTTTTAAGCCCTGCCTCCAGGTAACTGATACTCACATCACATGGCTATCGTTCACATCTAATTAACACCTATTGTTAACAGGGGGTGGAGTGATACTGCCAATGGCAGCGCTGT